ATTCATTCTCAATAATGGACATGATGCCAACAAGTGCTGGCACCAAGAGGTTAATGTGTCACCTTTTTCCTCTCTTCAGTTCTGATCTTAATGGCCTTACTGCAGTGTAAAGATGGAATAACACAGCGGTGAGTGAGGCCTATAATCTCTTTCATATCTTTTGCCAACATGACCTCTATTTCTAAAGAGATGGAAAAGAGGAACAGCTATCAGTAACTGAGTGTCAGTTGCAGCTGTTAGCTACTAGCTTTTCCACTTCAGTTTCCTTTAATAACAGCAGATATCATATTGCGGAAAATAAGATTAGAGTTAATAGAGAGATTTCATCATGCAGCCATATGTGTCCAGGTTTAGGAAATATTTATTACCATTATGCATATAACCAGTAACTGTGGTAGTAGCAAGTGAAAGAAATAATCAGAGAAAATAATGTGATGATAACCTCGAACATCTACCAGCTGCTATAGGAAGCAGATAGATGGGATCTTGGTTTAACATCTCTTTTCACAGTAAACCTTTCAACAGCTAGGTACGTGTATAAATATTTAAATCCATAACATTCTTGTTCAATAAGAATCATATTGGTAACTGCAAGATTATACCCATAATTTCAATTTGTATCTTTAAATCAGATGTTTTTACCAAGCTAATAGTAACTATCCATTATGCTGTCTCTTTCTAGCTGTAATATATCCATGATGATTTTATATTATCTGCCATTAGTACTTGCAAATTGTTATTAATGGACGTATTCTGGAAGTTTGGAATAGTTTAATGGGTTAGTTTGTTTTTTTCCCCTCCATGTATAAAACTCATCTTGTTTGATTTTGATATCATATAAATATTCTCTAACAATATTACTTCACCCACCCTCCAATATCCTGGGACCAACATGGCTACAACAACACTGCATACAACAATGGAAGATATTGATTCTTGCTAATGAGTCATGAGAAGTCACTTTGAGGTCAGTCTTAGTCTGCTGTTCCAGATGAGGAGCTATGTGAATGAGCTGCCAAATTAATTTTTTAGAAAATGTGTGCACTGCATTGTAATCATAAGTATGTCTGATAATTAAAAGAGAACAGACATAATTATACCATGTGTAGAATTTTCATTAGCTTGTTTAAAAATAGTTACCTTCATCATTAGAGTTTCATTAGTACACAGAAGAATCACAGAAAGACATTCCAAAGGAAAAATTAGCCAGTATCCACAATCAAGCTGACTGATTTTGCAATATTCCATAGTGTTTGAGGGTGATGGTAGGGGAAATAACAGATTAACCTTTTGATACCAACAATTGCTGCCATCATGTCTGCTGCTGAATAAACATATCAAGGACAAGACATTGTGACTCTTGATGTCCAAGGCAGTGATGGATTTAATTGGTTAATTGGAAACTGACATTTTCACTGATGGAATCCAGAGGTTATGCACTATTGTAGTCTGATGTGTGAAAGGTGATATATGTGTGAAGCTTTCTGAGGTAAAATCACTCCCAAATTCTGCTTCAGAAATCCTCTGATCCTAGTGTGTTCAAGTCAGTGAGGATACTCCATGTAGAGTGCTGAAAAATAAGGCCATTTGCAACTTACATACCCATTTTGGGTCTCATTTAACTTGATATTTCTGTTTGTATATCTTTGGGTATGTCTACACTGCGAAGTTGTCGACAAAACTTTTGTCTTTCATGGGTACTTTAAAAAGCCCCCCCGCGAAAGACAAAAGTTTTGCCGAAGCAAGTGGCAGTGTGAACGCAGCTTTGTCGGCAGGAGCGTTCTCCTGCTGACAAAGTTAATGCCACTCGTAGGGCTGGAAGTATTTTGTTGGCAAACGAGCTGACAAAGTAGCGACCAAGAGCGTTTACACATGCTGACTTTTAGCGACAAGGCTGAATCGACACAGTCTTGTCACTAAAAGCTGTGTGGTGTAGACAAGCCCTCATCAGTGTCTTTCTGTACTTTCCTTTGAGATCAGTGTTTTAAAGTAAAAAAAATCGACTTCTTTTGAAACTTTTGTTATATTTGTAAGAGGTTTTTTGTTTTTAAAAAAGTTTCAACTAAATCCAACACCTTAGAACTCTAAAGAGAGATATTATTGCAGCCAATTGCTATTATACATCATTTACTGTTTATTCACATCCAGTCTGATGCAAGGCCTAATAAAGTCAATTGAAAGACTCCCATTGATTTCAATGGGCTCTGGGGATCAGACACTATTCCTTGTGATATTTAATACTTGAATGCATTAGCACACATTGTAAATTATCAGTGGTAGACAGGGAAAACACAAAAAACTACCCTGAACCATAAGAATGTTTGACAACAAAGATGTAGTTCCATTCTGAAAGTAGCCTGAGAATCACAGCTGTGATCCAAGTAAGTTAAAAATTATACCTGGAACTTATTTTATACCTTTAAAATGTGGTAGTGTGAATTGAGTGTACAAAATATTTAGTCAAGCAAGAGTGGCAAACAACTCATTTAGACTGAATTTCTGTCTAGTGGAGGAACTCACTTCAGAAGGGAGGGATTGATATAAATAATATGGGGTTTCAGTATATATGTAGTATTTTAACAGTTAAGCCTTTGTTTTTCATTACATCATAAATATAATGCAAATAAATTGTTTAATCACTTTCTCTGATATGAACTAAATGATTATGCCTTTTCAGAATATAAGGAACAGAATACTCGTAATAAACTATGTGACAGATTGGTTTCAGTCTGTCAGCAATTCACATTTGATACGGAGTAGAGCTAATGTCAAGACGAAAATCTAAGAATTCTATAAGCCACGTCTATTTAAAGTCAAAGACAGTGCAGACAATGAGCTGTCTATAAATTGACATCTTCAGACAAGGAGGTTAATCATACTCAAAAAATATCTTCTAACAACAGACAGTCAGCCAAAGAGTGGGGTGAGGGAGTTGCAAATGTGGCCAGAAAGTCCATAGTTGTGTGGCTCTACCTTCAACAGCATATTTAAGGTAAAAAGTGACACAGGAAAACTGATCCTGAAACTGTTTAGGCACAGAACTGAATACAACCCTCCGTGAATTTGGAGACAGGAAACACCACTTTGGCTCTATGTCTATACTACAAAGTTTGGTCAATATATGTTATGTTGGCTTACAGCTGCCAGCTTCTATATGTCATTCAGGCATGTGCACAGTTGGTTGCTTGCATTGGTGCTGCATGTCCTCATCACAAGTAGTTGCATCGATAGAAAATGTAATACACCATGGGTATTCCCTCTGGTACAAAGCCTTGTGGGACATGTCAAGGCTGTATCCCCACTTTGAACTTTAGGGTACAAGTGCGGGGGCCCCAAATTTGTTGTTGTTCTCCCTCACTTTCTGATAGGCCTGCCAAAGTTCCTTGGCTTTCACCCAGCATTGATTCTCATCCCTGTCATGCTCAAAGTTTAGCATCCCCGATGCAATCTATGTGTAGATATCTATATTCCTTCAGCTGCTCCTTAGTTAGGCTTGCACAGCCTCTTTTTCCCATAGGCCAAGGAGATCCTGGACTTCTGCTCTATTCCAGGCAGGAGCATGTCGAAGTATAGCGCTCTGTCAGTGCAGAGCTGGCATGGTCAGATGCTCGCAAAGGTGGGCTAGAAGGTTTGCTCACCAAGGTGGCCAACCAGGAAAAGGCATTTCAAAAACATGTTGAGGTTTTTAAAGAGGACGGGGTGGGGCAGGCTTCCAGGATCGATGACCCCTGGGCAGTAGAGTTCAAAATTGTGACCGGAGTGACCACTGTCATGGGAGATGATGCATTGTGGGATAACTGCTAGAGGACAGTTAGGGTTGACACAGGTGATGCAGTGTCTTCATTAGCACTATGCTGATAAAAATAGTCAACTTTGGCTGTGCATCATTTGGCAGGGGTTCTGGGGGGGCTGTAATTATGCTTAAGTTGATGGGAGACATATTTAGGTTTGGATAATACAAACCTAGGTTGAAACAAGTCGACTTAGGTCAACCCATCTTTGTAGTGTAGACCAGGCCGGGGGAAGGAGATGCTTGGTGTGATAATAAGCCAGTCATATCAAAGGTGCCAGAAATGCATAAGAGGACTGTGAAAGAGACCTAATACTATAAGCTACATGGGACTGATAGGCTTGGTGGCCAAATGGATCACAAGGGAGAAAAGGAAAAAAATGCTCCCTAGAAAAATAAGTTACTTTACTGTAACTAAGCATAAATATGTACCTGCCTAGCTTAACTCTTTCCAAGTATGAGACTAGATCTGTTATACAGTCTATTTCTTTTGTCTTAATCTCATTTTTAATTTATTCTTAAAGAGCTTTCTTTTTAAATAGACCATTTGAATCTTTGTCAGTTGTCTGCAATTTCATGAAGCCCATCCCTGAGCAGTGAAAAAAACTAAACAACAGCAGTGAAGGAAGGGTGGCTGGAGTGGAGCACTCTAGGGCCCTGATCCCTGGTGGAAGCTTTTAGGAGCTATGGCATAAAATAACAAATACTGCTATGAATAAAAGGGCATACCTGACCCATTAGGTGTGCCATCCAAAGGGCTGTAGTCACATGGGTGCACAGGGAGTGCCTAGTGACTATAGATGGGAATGGAGTTTAAAGGATGTCAACAAAATTCAGATCTAGATTTTGATAACTCCAGAGTTCAGAGATGTTTGGATGTGGGATTCTGATTTGGCCTATTATAAAGATAAAGGGTCAGTTCTAAAATTCTGATTCAGATCCAGTTCAGAATTCAAACATCTTCTACAGTCAACAAGTATTTGAACTGATAACTTTGTACAGGCCCATGTCTAAAGAGCACCGAATTAAAATGGGCCTGATTCTGCCAAGTGTTCCTTTCACCCCCTCCCCATTAGTTTAATTGGCACTGTACTGAATACCACACATATTTGAGCCCCAAGATACCAAATGAACAGCTACAGTCAGATAAAACATCAAGTAAAGGTATATCACTGTCATCTACTTTTTTTTTTTTTTTTTTTTGTTCTAGGTTTGTATTGTACAAAAGAGAGATACGGAGAAGATGTATGCCATGAAGTACATGAACAAACAACAATGCATCGAAAGAGATGAGGTTCGAAACGTGTTTAGAGAATTAGAGATCCTGCAGGAAATTGAGCATGTATTCTTGGTGAATCTCTGGTGAATATCTTCTTTTCTGATGTACACTTCTGGTGACTGCATGCATTCACAAACACCTTACAGTAACACTCATAGTCATTCAGTTTGCTCTTGACAAGGGGCAATGAAAGAAATCTATTGAGTTGTTTCCATGTCATCAATGGATTTCTTGCTTATGTGAAAACTCAGGGAACCTGTCTTGACACTAAGATGTCTACATTTTAAGGCACATTTTGAAATGCATTTGATAAATTATCTTACATGATTTCTTTGGAATATTTTGTTTTTTTAATTGGTAAACAAGTTCTCTTTCAAATCTGAAAATCAAATAACTGTTCCGCTAATATTTTTCAAGTTAAATTTAAAATAATTTTGCAATTCAACATGTTAAAGTGAAGTTTGGCAAAGGAACCTTGATACAGTCAAACAACTTAGTCACGGTAATTTATGTATGGAGATACTGATCACTGTGATTCTGTCCATGTTCTTTACTGTTTCATCATGAATTGTGTGCTATAATTCATGCATCAGGCACAAACTTGAATTTAAAGAATTAAAAGAAACTGGTAGCTCTCCATGATGTAGATTATGTTTACCATCTTAATAATAAATAACAATAAATAATAATAATACCAGCAACATTTGTACATGGTACATGGTACAAATGTGCTAAAAGTGTATGGGGCTTTACACATGGTTCCTGTCTCTCAGGAATCTTTCATTCTAAAGGACTTGATCTTGCAAACACTTGCTACTGGACTGGGTAAATGGACTGCTCTGGGTCATAAGCATTAGAAGTAAGATTTTGCTAGGTAGGCCCTATTAGAGGGGCCCCAGGTCATCAAGGCACTTTAAATATGCACTTTAAGTTAGGCACATGTTTAAGTACCTTGCTAAATGGAAGCCAGGATGACAGAGAGAGGCCTAAGAGGAGGGTGGCCAGACTACATAAAATATGGTTGTAGGGATGCTCCAGTGGCACCGTACATCTTACGCTATACAGTGAGCATCCAAAGATACATTTCAAAAGCTTTTTATGGGTCAAAACAATTTTTAGACTTTAGTTGTGATATAAGGAAATAATTGCAATAATTTCATTGGTATTTGTTGCAGTGAACCAGTCATTGCATAGTCTTTACCAGTGGACACATGATCAAGTTTGAACTGCAATTAATACTGAGCAATTTCAAATGTAATCACTTTAGCTAGTGTTCTCCTTTTGAGACAATTTGAAGAGACTACTTAAATATATCAGCCATATGGCAATTATTGAAAGCCTCGTTGTAAACAAAATGCTTTATAATAACTTAAACTGGTCAATTAAAAGTGCATTCCTTTATAATTCAGATTTATTTTCGTTATTAACTTGTGCACAACCCAAATCTATTGGCTGATGATAGAAAATGATCCAATAAGCCCCAAAGGATCATAAGTTCATTTTTGATGAGCATGCAATAGTTCAGACCTTTATCTGAAGTTTATCAAAAATTTTGATGTTCCTTCCACCACCATCTTCATGACCCTCCAAGTTATCCCTGCTGCAATTGCCCACCACAAATGTTCTTTTGCAGGGATCAGCAAATCTCAGTAAGTCTATCATCTTCCTTGATGGGCCCTGGAAGCTGAATTCAAATTGTGCATGCTCAGAGATGCTGTGCCCAGAGAGCATTTTATGCATGAGTGCTCATAAGATTCATTGGCAGCAAGGTCCAACAAACAGGTTTTCAGAACTACTGAGTTCCATGATGAAATCTTCAAAGAAAGCATTAGGAAAGAGGTAATATTGGAAGATACAGGAATGAATCCATGACCCATATTTATAGACAGTGGGGAAGGTCAAATCTCTATAGCTTGGTGGAAGGAAGCTGGGGACAAGTAAGAAGGTTACAAGAAGGGAGAGTGATGTTGCCATACTGGGAAAGAGGATGAAAGTGAGAAAGAGAGGGAGAGAGATGGGCCATCCTTATCCAACCTGAAAATTGGCATTGGGCTGCTTAAAATTTTGAGTTGCTTTTATATTTTTCAAATGGCTTCACGCATCCTTTGTTACAGTTTATAGTATATTATTTCAAATGATAAAGTAGCTTTTTGTAAAACCCCAGTTCCTCATTTGGAATCTGGAGAATATAATGGAGTCAGGTAGCCAATATTTTCAATCCAGCAGTTTTTCAAATTACCTAAAGACTCATCCAATTACATCTTTTCTACTGTTACGAAAAGTGTGTTGTAATGATAAAATAAAGACTGTGTTCATAAAATAACTGGTAAATAAAGTGATTTTTTAAAATAAAAAATGCAGTGAAGTGTATTGATAGTGCCATAGTTTTCTCTAATAGATTCCAAATTTCCTGTTGGATTCCAAAGTTTATCTCACAAATGAAATGTGTTTGTTAGTCTAAAATTAATCCCTGTTGCATATTGTTTGACCTCACAAAGACACATCAGGAATTACTGGCACTTTTTCTCAGGAAGGATCCACAAATCTGATAGCAGGACAGGCTGAATCTGCATTGATAGAGTTGGCAGGGATGTTTGCTTCAAGGAGTCAGTCTCTATTAGCCAGTGCTAATCCTCCAGCCATGTTAATGTGCAGTGAAATTTCCCGAAGACTGAAAAAAACCCAATAGCACTAAAATAAAATGATGAAATAAAGTCAATGTATGATGCTTTAGGATTAGATTCAATAAGTCACTTCAGTAGAGTCAAGACAATCGCCTGAGTTTGTCAAACCATTTTAACAATTGCTCTACTGAGGTCGTTAAGAAAGTGTTTTCTCTTAGCACTATCAGATAATAGAATTGTACATTCATTTCTAGCACACATTCAGTATAAGAACAGAAATTTATGATGCACAATCCCACATGTAATTCACTAAGTAGTACTGTTGCCACAAACGACTACTGGAAATTCTTTTGAGGTATGTCCAGAGTGTGGTGGGGTTTCTCACAAAAGCCAATTGTTTCAGATTTTAAAAAGACCTTTCTATTTTGTAACTGATATAAGGCTCCTGCTCTGACATTCTATGAGTTAAATTAGCCCTTGTGTTCTCTTACTTCATTTTCAAAAAAGAGAAAAATCAGTTTATGAAAAATACAGAAAATCTGCATTTAGAATGAATCTGAAGTTAAAATGAAATAGGTCTTTAGTAGAGTCCCAAACTTCACCTGTTAATGAGGTGAGTGATTCATAAAAGATAATAGGGAACTATGTAGCTCTGGGTGAATGGTTAGCAGGGACTGACAATGTTTCTCACAGTGAAAATCATTAGTGCAAAGTGTTGAAACTCAAGGCCAAATTTTCATAGCTTAGCTTCCCCGTAGCTGCAATTCAGGCCATTTTCCTGATAGTGCCACAAATCAGGTAACTGGGTCTCTAATGGTCTGATTTTTCAGAGCTAAGCACTCAACTCCACTGGAAAACAATGGGAACTGTGGACCTCAGCCTTAGGCTAAAGCTGAACTAAATTGCACTCTCAAAGAAGTGAGAGTGCCAAATTTCACCTGTAATTATTTCTGCTGAAAAAACTGTGGTTACAAAAACTGTAGGCCTGGTTAAGGTCAGGCTGAATCTGAAGCCCTAGAAATCTCAGATAACTATTTTCAACTAAATAATTTAGGGCCTAATCCTGTGAGTTGCTTAGCCCCTCCCATAAAGTGCTAAATGCACTCAAAGGGCCCTTTATTCCCACTGAACGCCACACGGGATGAGACCTTTAATTTTTTTTGGCTGATACTATATATAATGAGGGTTTTTTTAAACAATACATAAGCAATAAACTTTTGTAACGTATGATCCCGTTGACACACAGGCTGCCATGATGCATGCTGTGTGCAATTCCACTGACCTCAAAGGATTTGCACATGGCGTTAGAGAAGAATTTGGCTCACTGAGTAAATGGTGCAGATCCTGTACTGGCTTTCTGGGTGTTCATTGGAGCAGGGACTGGAACCCAGGTGTCACCTCAACCCAGGTGAGTCACCTAAACTAACCACCAGGTTCTCACTCTCCCTTCCTAAGGCTCAGTTGGGAGGTGAGAAATCCAAGTTCAAATTCCTGCTCCAATGACTATTTAAGTATTTTATACAAAGAGGAACAGCTTCAACAGGCGAGACTGAGCCCCACCTAGAATATCCCATATCTTAGTGGTTAAGGCGCTCATCTAAAATGTGGGAGACCAAAGTTCAGCTCCCTGCTCTGAATCAGACAGAATGGGGACTTGACCCTGGGTCTCCCCCATCCCAGCTCAGTGCTCTAGCCACAGGGCCATTGGGTAAACAAGAGGGCCCTCCTTTGGTTTTATGAATCTATCCCAAAACCTTTTTGGGGAGCCAAAAGTATTTAGCAAATTGGTGTCCAATCTGAGAACAGTTTTAGTTAGCCTGAAACTGCATTTTTCAGCAGCTAAACTATTTGTCCAAAAGTTCTCGCCCAGCTCAACTAAGAATTATAGGTATGCCCCCCACAATGGGGCCTTTCAGAGGGTGCAGCATAGCACCCCACACATTGACCTCATGCTACTGCTGAAGCAAGGACAGTCTCCCCTGGCCCATCATAGGTCCTTCACACTAGATGTCAGAGAAGTGGATAGAGGCTTAGTCAGGGGGCTAGAATCAGCACCAACATTTTAATTGTAATGGAGATTGGCTAACAGTAGCTCTGGGTAGCATATTCTTTGTTGGTGACTCATTCGAGCTGATAGCAGGGAGGTTTATCAGATAATTACATTTGGTCTGCTGCTCATTATTCCAGCACAATATTGATTATATCAGGAAGAATACGTGTGTTAAGAATATAGGAGTTAAATGACAGTGCCCTGGATATAACAATGGGCTGTGCAAGTAGGGTAAAATTAATGAGCATTGCTGCCCCTCCACAGAAATTTTGCATGGGATAGCCTGTGTAAGTTACAAAATGAGGAAGGCAGCAAGCAAATTAATTCATCCAGACAGAACATAGCAGTAACGAGTTAAAAAATACGAGACAGTATATTGAATCATGCATGCACTATTAAAATGATGTAAATATTGAAGCCAGGATATTCCTGTAACTTTACTTGGGCAAATGGGGAGCATATGGATGTTATCATTTAACATGTAGAGTATAATTAGGATTAAAAAAAAGCTCCTTCATTTTGTAGCACCTGTGAAATTTGCAAGGTGCCATGCTGTTTACTCAACTGTGTTTGTTTTCTGTAGGTACTCTTTTCAGGATGAAGAAGACATGTTTATGGTAGTGGATTTACTCCTAGGTGGTGATCTACGGTATCATCTACAGCAAAATGTTCAATTCACAGAGGAAACAGTGAAGCTTTATATTTGTGAGATGGCACTAGCTCTAGACTATTTACGAAGTCAGCATATTATTCACAGGTAACAGCAAAATCTGTTAGTCTCAGCTGTGGAAAACTGGTGCAGCTAAATAAACCAACAAGGAAAAATGAGACCGTCAGGCTCATTAGAGAATAAGGGACCAGATCATCAGCTGGTGCAAACTGGCATAGGTCCATTGCAGTCTATGTTTGAGTTGAAGGTGCAGTTGTCCCCATTGTGTTGTACGCTAATGAGTATCCCAACGTCATTAACAGTTGGTATTCAGTAAACAGCTCCTATTTAAACTGCACTTGGCCATATGACCCCTTGGTTAAACTTCTGCCCTCATTTATACTGGAGCTGGACTCTTGCCATCTGTGGACTTACTCTAAATTTACTCCAGCGTAAATTTGGCCCAGTATTTGATTCAAAGTTATAAAGTTCTTCACAATAAACACCAAATCTTGCAGTATTAATTTCAATGGGAGTTTTGCAAGGGCAAGATCTGGGAGTTTTGTTCCCTTTTTTTTTTTTTTTTTTTTTTTTATGATTGCACAGGAAAAACATTTATCTATTACACATATAAGAGATGGCACATGCATGAATAATTTCTCTCAGACTAGGGTACTTTGTTTTATATTTTCTACCCTAATTATTGGGTCACAAGAAATAGTTTTGCTTTTCTTTTGAGTTGCTTTTTACATTTGCATAACTTCTTACATACATCCTCATTTCTTTTCCCAGAGATGTAAAACCAGACAACATTCTCCTAGATGAGCAAGGTAAGAAAAAAACAAAACCTGTCTGTCTATGCAGCTCCTTCTAGCCTAGGTCCTGATTCTCCACTACCATGCATCTTGTGTGCATATTTACCCCTGGGCAAGGTGGGAGCAATACACTACTGCTCTGGTTTGGAAATATTTTATATTAATTTTGCACACAGGTTATGCAAGGCAAGGGAGAATGAAGTCTCAAGTACGTTCGTCATAAACCAAAGCTTATTTTTACTAGCTCTTATATTTTTAGGACAAATAATATTTCTGGCTGAGATTTTAAAAAGTGTTATTTTGTCTTCAAAGATATTAATATGATAGCTTCCAATCAAATTAACTATTAGAAAATAACTTTGTGTCCTACCAATCTGCTAGTTGATAAACAATGTTGGGGACCTGTTTCCACAAATACCTTAGGCCAAGGTATCATAATCATTTGTCATCTTCAGTACTTGGAGTCAAGAAAAGAGGTATTTATATATTTACTTTGAGCTTTAAAAATACAATTGTAGTCACCTACCTTGTGCTTTGGGCACTTGGGCTATACATTAAAAATCACAACATGAACATAAACAAAGGACTGCCCATAAACATCTTCTCCTCAGCTTATACTCTCTTCAGCAACCTTACAGAAGTGGAAGGGGGGGTGGGGAATGGGCTTTACAACTTGCCTGGAAGATTAACAAATCTGGGCTCTGATGGAACAAAGTGGAAAACTAGATTAGGACTCTTCACTGAGGACGTACTACTAGCAGCTCTCTGTTTTAAATGGAAGGCGTTCCATCTTGTGCACCTCTGCTGATCTCAGCTGTTGCAGTATATCATTGGGAAAGACAGGCAATCTCTCAGGCAACCAAGTTCTAATCCTTTCCAGTTTTTATAGGTTCAAACCAACAGCTTGAATTCAACCTGAAAGCTTACTGGAAGCTGGTGCAGATCGCAGAGCACTGAAAAACTATTGCGCATAAGATAGAAGAACGAGAGGAGAGGAGAAAACAGGAGGAGAAAGGGGGCTATTCTGCCCTTGATTCAGATACGAAACATCCAAAGATGTCAATTGGGGAGCCACATGCAGATGTAGGGCAGAAAATAGCCTTACAGAAGAGAGAGAGTGGTTTGCTTTGGACTAGATTTCTAGCTTGCCTTGAAAGTAACTATCCCTCAGGCAAGTTTTGGAATAATTGGTTGACCTGCTGCAACTCACATTGGATTTCTTTCTTGTTTGCCTTGACAGAGTAGATGAATTGGCCACAGATTTTATATGCTCCACCTAATGTAGTTTTATTGTGATGTGTCTGTTACACAAGTAATCTATGAACAGCCACCTTAACAGTATGAAAAACGAAATTGGCATGTAGCCAGCTTCTTTTAAAGAGCAGACTTGGCTATATTGGAAGCATGATCAGAGTTAAAGAATTAAGGAATACTGGAGTTCACTACAACCCAAATTCTCCTCCTTCAATGCTATACTTAACTGTAGTGACGTCTCTTTTCTTGCTGTTTTGAAATCAAGGACCTAAGAGAGAGTGCTGCATCTTCCTTCATTCAAAATATGTTTTTGCTCTGGAGAAGACACTTGAATGCAAACAGACCAGTGAGCTTTTGATGATTTATAAGCAACTTCTTGACAGTTTGTCCACATATCCCTCTGTCTTCATCTCTTTTCAGATCAGGCAGCATTGGTCTCATATGCATAATTCATATAGCTATCAGGCAGCCTCTCACAAGAAGGCAGAAATGGCAGGGATATGGTACTGCCAGCTTACTCTGACCACAAGCTGTTTGGAAGACTTGCTATACATACTCATGGATAAACCAGTTTATACTTAAGCCATGCTGGTTTATACATGGGTTCATGCAGTAAAGAAAGAAAAAAAAGAGAGCCAGATCTGCCTGAGAAAGCCGTTTTTCTCCAACCAGAAGACGAGAGATTTATTACCCATTGCTTGGGAGCCACAAGTCCAAACTGGGATGCCCATCCCCTATAATGGGGGAAAGACAAAATTGCCACAGCGGCTGGGGAACAACCAGGTTCCTAAGTGCACGTTAGCATCTTTGGACTTGTGGCTCTTACACAGTGAGCATATTATAAAATTTGTGGCGATCATAAAACACACATGCTGCAAGCTCTTTATTTGCAGTAAGAGCTGCTAGCTGGGGGGTTACTGTCTCTTCTACCGCCTGGGCAATTCATGGGCCGCAGGTTTGTATAATTTTTGGTGGTGCCCAGAACGGGTCCAAGTTCCGCCCCGCACCTGCTTTGTAAGCCGATATATATTTTTTAAAATAATGTAAAAGTGGACTGGAAACAGTAAGCAATTAACAGTTTCCCTATATTGCACAATGTGTTGGGGGGGGGGATGAGGGCTCTGGCTGGGGGTGCGGGTTCTGGGGTGGGGATGAGGGGTTTGGAGTGTGGGAGGATGAGGGCTCGGGTGTGGGAGGGGCTCAAGGCTAGGGCAGAAGGTTGAGGTGTGGGGATGAGGGCTGTGGGGTGGGGCCAAAGATGAGGGGTTCATGGTGCAGGAGGGGGCTTAGGGTGGGGCAGAGGATTGAGGTGCGGGGGGGGTGAGGGCTCTGGCTGTGGGTGCGGGTTGTAGGGTGGGGCCGGGGATGAGGGGTTTGGGGTGTGGGAGGGGCTCAGGGCTAGGGCAGAGGGTTGGGGTGTGGGGGATGAGGGCTCTCGCTGGGGGTGCAGGGTCTGGGTTGGGGCTTGGGAGGAGGGTTCAGAATGTGGGAGGGGGCTCAGGGCTGGGGCAGAGGGTTGGGGTGTGGGGGAGTGAGGGCTCTGGCTGGGGGAGTGGGCTCCGGGATGGGGCTGGGGATGAGGGGTTTGGGGTGTTGGAAGGGGCTCAGGGCTCCAGCAGGGAGTGAGGGCTCTGGGGTGTGGCTGGGGATGAGGGGTTTGGGGCATGTGAGGAGCTCAAGGTGGGGCAGAGGGTTGGGGTGCGGGGGATGAGGGCTCCGGCTGGTGGTGCAGGGTCTGGGGATGAGGGGTTTGGGGTGTGGGAGGGGGCTCAGGGCTGGAGCAGGGGATGAGGGGGGGTTCGGAGTGTTGGAAGGGGCTCTGGCTGGGGGGTGCAGGCTCTGGGGTGTGGCTGGGGATGAGGGGTTTGGGATGTAGGAGGGGCTCAGGGCTAGGGCAGAGAGTTGAGGTGCAGGGGTGAGGGCTGCAGGGTGGGGCCATGAATGAGAGGTTCATGGTGCAGTAGTGGGCTCAGGGTGGGGCAGAGGGTTGGGGTGTGAGGGGGTGGGTTGCAGGGTGGGGCCAGGGAAGAGGGGTTCATGGTGCAGTAGGGGGCTCAGGGTGGGGCAGAGGGTTGGGGTGCCTCATGGGGTTGCCTGCCTCATGTTCACTTGTACACATAACTCAAACTGGAGCTTGGGTTGCTCCACACCTCAGTCTCACAATTCATCATGAGCGCCCGAATGAGAGACATCATACCCTGACTGATACAGCTTATGTTGCAGTCTGATAGCTTGGCACAGCTGCCCCAAAAGAATGGGTACTCTGGCTCTAAACAAGAAATTATGCTCTGAAGGCAGTCTCCACAATTTTCTTTTTCTCTTCCTACTTCTGCTGCTGTTTCTATAGGGTTTCCCTTTGTTCTGAAATGTTCTCCTAGTCTGGCATCAAAATCAAACAGCACAGAATAATAAACACATACTCCCAGGAACAATCCTGCTTTTGCAGGGAAATGGGCTGGATGATCCAGGAGGCCTTTTCCATCTCTTTCCATTTTGTGATCATGACTCTGCTCAGCATTAGGCCTAATTGAAAACATTCATAACATTTTTGAAAATTTTCAGTCACTTCTATCTAAGGACATGTCTACACTTGCCATTTAAAGTGGAAAAAGTCCCTTTTTTGTGCAAAAACCATGAGAGTGTCTACACTTGCCAATGACTTTTTGCAGTGAAACTCAGAAGTATCACCACAAAAAGAAAACCACCTCCACGAGAGGCATACAGCTCTTATCGGTGATGTTTTTGCAGTGATGTGCAAGTGAAGACACATTCTTCCTGTTTACAGAGCTTTTAGCCTCCGGAGGATATCCCACAGTGCCTAGGTGACCACTTTGACCAGCAGCTCTGCTGCTCTGATGCCAGGTAAAGCCCTGTAAAGCCCCAGGAACTTTGAAATTCCCCTCCTGTTTTCTTGGCAAGTGCTCACTTATCAGGCCAGGTGACAATGCCTGCTCCACAGAGGAAATGATCCCCTGCTTGGAGCAATGCTGAGCTACTGGAGCTTATCCGTGTTTGGGGACAGGAGGCTGTGCAGGGACCCAGGATGCCCCACGATCACCCCCCCCCCAGACCTATTTTCAAGCTGGAGAGAGCTGAACTATGGGATAGCTGCTCTAGAGTGCTGCTCTCATCCACATGGAAGTACTGCTAATGTAAACACTCTCTGACACCTGAGGAATTAAGTGAAAACACAAACCAGCGCTTTATTTTCACCAGTTCCCTATCAATGGTGAAACTTAAAGTGCAAAAACTCTGCAAGTGTAGACATAGCCTAAGGTACTTACATGGTACCCATCACTGTAGTATCTGAGGGTCTCACAATCTTTAATGTATTTATCCTCACCACACCCTTGTGAGAAAGAGAAGTACTCATCTTCATTTTACTAAAGAGGAATTGAGGCATAGAGAGACTAAGGGATGGATTTTTAACGGTATTTAGGCACCGAAAGATGCAGAAATCAATGGCAACTAGGTGCCTAGGCACTTCTGAAAATCCCACTAGGTGCCTATTGGAGGCCACTTCTTCAGTCACATGGGAAATCTGTGGCAGAACAGGGAGTTGAACGTGGATCTCCTAATGTCCAATGTCTAACTACTGGACCACTCTTCCTCAAAACAACAACAAAGTGAAAAATGTTATCTAAATATTTGAAAAACTGAATTTGTTTGACCACTGTTTCTCTTGTCCTCTTGCTTTCCAACCAGGAATACAGTTCCTTTCTTTTAATTTTGACTTTACATTTTGGAAAATGACTGGATTGCAGAAAATGATGAAAAATTGGCAAACAAATTTTCACCAAATTTTCCAATTTATTTTGTGGAAGTTTCTGGTTCAGAATCCTACAATGGCAAGGAAATAGGCTTTTAATCCAAAGAGTCTTTTCCCTCACAATCATCTTTGATTCTTGGTCTGTCAAACCAGCACTCCACACAAGCATAAAAGACATTTTAGAAAGGGGTAATTCATTGCAGACATAAAGGACAACAGGTTTTATGAATGCATGTGTAATTGTAATGGTTGCCTTATGTGGAGTTAATTTATATACTGTAGAAATCAAAAAGGCATCTTCTTGTCCTTTGAAAAGCCACTAAGTTACAGTTGATAACTATGCATCCATTGCTGTGTGGGCGGAAAGCAGTATATCCATTTGCCCATATGTAACTCATTTTAGCTCTGATCAGATGCTTGTATGAGCTGGAATAAATTGGACATTTTTAATGACTACAAAACAGCACCTCAAGTTTGGCATTTAATAAGGCAGAAAAATAACGATTTTTTTCCATCTGAAAAGACTGGGACCTTAAGAATACCTCCATGATCTATTATGACCATTTAATGAGAGCCAGGTGCCACATTGCCTGCTCCTTTAGTAAACAAGCATCAAATGTTTTCTGAATAATTTAATGTGTGTCTAGGTTACACAATGTTCCATTTATGACTATTTTATTAATACCTCTTTAAAAATGTGTCTTTATTTCTAAGGTCATGCACACCTAACAGATTTTAATATTGCAACAATAATCAGAGATGGTGAAAAAGCAACTGCGTTAGCTGGAACCAAACCATATATGGGTAAGAAATATTATTTATTAATTGTCTCTACAATTTACTTTGAAAGGATACTTACAGCATACCATTTTATAATTTGTGGCTAACACAATGTAATTGAACTAATTTAACACATTAATGCAAGCAACTTAGTCATTCTGAAAAGTTAATTAATCAAGCGGTCTATCCCTCAAGATGTGTGAATTATTCCCCCCAAAAACACCTCATAAACCTATTGTGTTTGCTCTCATCAGCCTCCCAGTGTTGTCTTCAGTTCCTGTTGTTCCTGCACTAACTTAGGACCTGTTCCTGGAAGGTGCAGTTTCCACTGACTTGGGTGGGAACTGAGGGCACTCAGCACCTTGCATGGCTAAGCTCTTAGACAGTAAGCTGTTTGGGACAGGAACTCAGTTTTTTGTTTGTCTTGTAGGATCCCATCTAGGGTGACCAGATGTCCTGATTTTATAGGGACAGTCCCGATTTTGGGGGCTTTTTCTTATATAGCACCTATTCCCCCCTCCCCCATCCCGATTTTTTACGCTTGCTATCTGGTCACCCTAATCCCATCTATGGCACTAAATAAAAGTAATTATGGCATCCATAAACTGATGCTTAATCCAAATCTGCAGCGGATGTAAATATACTATAGCCAGAGTAAATACATTGTTTTCTTTTCTGTTTTTATTTAGCTCCAGAGATTTTTCACTCTTTTCTGAATGGTGGGACAGGCTACTCCTTTGAAGTTGATTGGTGGTCTTTAGGAGTGATGGCTTACGAACTTCTTCGTGGATGGGTCTGGTGTCCTCTACTGTCTTATATGATGGTGTTTTCAGATATTTTTCTTAATAATCTTCACAGGGAAGAATTGTATTTTTTTCATATTTCCATTTCTTTTCCTCAGAGACCCTACGACATCCACTCCAGTAACCCGGTAGAGTCTTTAATTCAGCTGTTTAGTACTGTAAGTGTGCAGTATTCATCAGTATGGTCAAAAGAAATTGTTGCTTTATTGAGAAAGGTAAATACTGTTTCTTCAGTACAATTTCAATTGTGTGGTCACAAATTCCATACTGGCTACAATATGTACAGGGCTAACTAGTCTTCTGTTCAGCTTCAAGATATTACTCCTTTATGTCTTTATACAATGGTTAACACAATTTAATTGCTCCAAAATATAATTTGAGTAGTCATTTGATGCTTTATCCATCTTCTCTTCTGTTAGTTAGCAAGTGAGGTGTGTTACGTGATTGGTTTAAGTCATATAATCAGATACTTGCTCAAGTTAAGATACTGTAGTGTTAACATAACTGCCTGTATGGAAATGTATTACCTCCTATACTCTGAAATTCATAGCTGACTGTTGAAATAACTACCTTTCACCATAGAATGATTGCAGCATAAAATACATAGGTGTTTGGATATCCTGCTGTGATAATGCTTTTTTCCCCTTTCTCCAATTCTGCAGTCAGTGAATCTGATTCTGATTTGTCTAGTAATTAGAAATGTGTTTGTTTTCTTTTTTCCGGGGAATGGGTCCTTTGTCACTTCCATTTTATTATTTATATCTAAGAAAGTCTGTTGATTTTAAGCTGATGTTGGTTTCCTGGCTTCTATTTATTAAAGGATTCAGAAAAGTGGCTGATCATGAGAGTATAAAAGAGATAAACACTCCACTGACAGCAAATAAGTGACTCCAATATAAGTTAGAGTTGGGCGGACAATTTACATAATTAGATTTTATTTTAGAAAGAAGCAGAGTTGTTAGTTACTTTTTCAATAAAAATTACTCAGCAAGATCACATACGCCATCTACTGGATTAACTCAGAGAATGCATGTTTTTAAAGAGAACATTATATATGGAAATTAATAATACATATCCATAATCCAAAAGTTATCAGTCATCATCCCCAAACAAGGAAGTCCCCCATGCCTCCAAGAATCCCACCAGTTTTCTTGCTCTAAAACATTGTCCAGCTGAGAACTGCATGAGAAATTCTTCAGAGCCCAGTATCACTTTTCCTTAGGGTTTGTCTACACTGGCACTTTACAGCACTGCAACTTTCTCACTCAGGGGTGTGAAAAAACACCCCCTTGAGCTCAGCAAGTTTCAGCGCTGTAAAGCGCCAGTGTAGCCGCGCTCCCAGTGCTGGCACCTACACCCCTCGTGGAGATGGGTTTTTTTAGAGCGCTGGGAGAGCTCTCTCCATGTGCTCTGCCACGACTACACAAGCCACGTAGACTAGCCCTTAATCAGCTGGCTGAGGAATTGCTGAATAATATGGGGCATTTCTTTCCCAACATAGGCTGAGCGTGTTATCTACACAGCACTTCCTGATCTTCCCAGGCAACAAGAGATCAGGACTAGTAATCAAATGTTTCCTCCTTTGGGCCCAAATGAGGAATTTTCCCATCAACTAACCCAGGCATAATTAATTATGGTATTTCCTAATGTTTGAGTGCTTGAGTTTGCAACCTTAATAATTTTTCTTTTAACATAGGTTTTTTGGTTTTGATGCAGATAATAAGTTACATATCATTTCCCACAAAGGGTTTTTTCTCTCTTAGTTAATTATAAGAGCATGATTAAAGACAGAATGATTCTGTATGCCTGTTCTTTCTCAGGCCAGACCATGCCTTACTGCAGTGCTTGTCATTTCAGCTATTGACAGTGAACCCTGAGCATCGATTTTCCAGCCTCACGGACGTTCAAACTTCAGCTTACTTATCAAATGTCATCTGGGATGATGTCTGTGAGAAGAAGGTGGAGCCAGGCTTTGTTCCTAATGTAAGCAAAAGTGATGACTTAATCAGTTTCCCCTTATTGAACAATGATCACTGTTTACTTAATAAGACAAAGGATTTCTATGGCTGAAATAACTCCTAAATGTATTAGCTGAAACATATTCTCATAAATCACAGAACTAAGCTTTCAGTCAGTACCTTTGTACCATTCTAACAGAAAGGCCGTCTGCATTGCGATCCCACCTTTGAGCTAGAAGAAATGATCCTGGAGTCAAGACCCTTGCATAAAAAGAAGAAAAGACTCGCAAAAAACAAGTCCAGGGACAACAGCAAGGACAGCTCACAGTCAGTAAGTCCGTCCTTGAATAGCTCAAACAATCCAGGGGACAAAAAGCTGAGGTGTTGAAATCTGTTTGTTATAAAAGCAGTTACTTTGCATGGTGGCTTTCCATTCACATGTATTGTAATAAAAATGTTCAGCCAAGAGGACAGTCAGACTGACTCTGCCCGAGAGCTAAATTCTCCTCTTCCATGCATGGCAGATCTCTTCCACATTCTTCTGTTGTCCCTAAAGTGACATGAGTGGGGGATCTATGCACATTGATCAAGAAACTATAAACGTCAGAAGATCCACTATGTAGATAGGGAAGAAAGATTTTTCACATCAGATGTGGTATCATTTAGACAGTTAGGTCCTGAGTCTTCTGTTACACTGGTTTACACCTGTGTAACTCCTGTGAATTCATATGGATTTACTCCTAATTGACCCTCATGTTAGTGAAAGGAGAACCAAATTATTAGTAAAATGAGATGTGTGGCAAGTTAGAAATATTGATGACACTAATATTAGTGATTCAAAGCTTTACGTCCACCACTTGAAAGAATAATAAAATTCTGCAGTATTACCAGGCTGGCTTCTCACAGCTTGTTTCAAATATTGCATGTTCAGTTCTCAAGAGCTATTCTCAACTGAATTTTGCAACACTACTAACCAAAACACTAGGATATTCTGTGCAGTCCTGATTTAGAATATTCCCAGTAGTGCATGGGAATCACTCTTTTCATGTAGATCCCTCCTGGATGTTCATGATGACCCTTGGTAGGCCATACAGTGCCCTTCCTTTGAGAGGTAGCAGGAGGCTTTGGAAACAATCAAGTAAAAAAGCAGATCCTAGGTGTCTCACATGAATTCCCACTAATATCCCATGAGATTGTGCTATGATTATTTTCATTGGCTGCAATAGTTTTGTTGTTGGTAAGAAAAAAATATTTAGGAAACACCCATTCTTTTAGAAACTAGGTTATATAAGTGTTTATCATCATGGGAGCCAGGGTTCAGGCTAGACTCAGGTCACTGGTAAAATGAATAAAGGAATCTCAATCTTCTCCATGATGGACATGTCCCCATAAAATAACAATTACATCATTTGGCATAGTACGTAGCTTCATCTCAGGGAAAGCCCAGTATTCATAAGCGGTGTTGCAGGCTATAACTGATGTATATGGGTAGATCTATGTGAGAAAGCAATCACAACACCTAACCACTTATTTCTGGACTCAGGGCAGTGCTCCTTGCCTCTCAATTTCATGAGCACTACAATTATCCCACAAATACAAATAAACAGATTTTTTAAGAATGCCATTTATCTTATAAACAGCAGGAAGTATCTGTTAGAATTCTCCCTGACTTGTGGGCTGAGTCTATTAACAGCAGTAGATCATTTCTTCCTTCAGCAATAGTTAACATTACAATCAATGAAGGTTACTATAAAAGATTGGAAGAATAATTCAGGAAGCCAAAAACCAGAACAAGCAAACTTAACAATAACTTGCAGAGGCACTCACTGACAAGTGAGTTAAAGGCACTGCTACATTTTTCTCCAGCGTCTATATGTCCTGCCAATCTCCTTGATGGTGCTGTATGCCTGTAGCTCTTAAGGCACTGTGGGATCCTTCAGGATGATAGTCAATATAGGTGAAATTCACCCCGGACATAGGACTAGTTAAAGGCCTATATACCGCTTAAATTCTGCATGAGACCTATTTTGAGGATTTAAGTGAATGAGTAGTATATAGGCCTTATGCTTGCTCTCTGCACCAGGGTGAATTTCACTATTTATAAACTGATTATTCATATAGTAAAGGATTGTGTGTATTAACATGTTATCTGTGTAGCAGGGAAATTATTGCACCAAAGTGAAAACAGAACACAGTGATTTAAAAATGTGAAAGAAATGAGGGTGTTCTTTTTCCATCATCAATTTAGGCTGAAAGTCATACTACCTGATTAGATTATATTCATGTGCATCTAGACACAACAATACAGTAACTCCTCACTTAAAGTAGTCCCGGTGAACATTGTTATGTTGCTGATCAATTAGGCTAGGTCTACACTACCCGCCTGAATCGGCGGGTAGAAATCGACCTCTCGGGGATCGATTGATCCTGTTGGGACGCGATCAATCGATCCCCGAATCGACGCTCTTACTCCACCAGCGGAGGTGGGAGTAAGTGCCGTCGACGGGAAGCCGCAGAGGTCGATTTTGCCACCGTCCCTACAGCGGGGTAAGTCGGCTGCGATACGTTGAATTCAGCTACGCTATTCGCGTAGCTGAATTTGCGTATCTTAAATTGACCACCCCCCCCCCCCCGTGGGGACGTAGCCCCAGGGAACATGTTCGTTTAAAGTTGTGCAATGCTCCCTTCTAACATCGTTTGGCAACCACCTGCTTTGTCCACTGCTTGTAGGAAGAGCAGCCCATTGCAGCTAGCTGGTGGGGGCTTCGAACCAGGGTGGACCGGCAGCCCCCCTATCAGCTCCCTGCTCCCCTAAGTTCCCTGGCAGCAGCTGCCCAGCAGGCTAGCAATTGCAGCTGTCCCTCCCCCCACTGCCATGTGCTGTTCCCGCCCTCTGCCTTGGAGCTGCTCCCCGAGACTCCTGCTTGCTGTGTGGGGGGAGAGAAGGAAGAGGGGGGCTAATGTCAGGGTGTCCCCCTCCCTCCGCTCCTGTACCCTGCTTACCCCATCTTCCATAGACCAGGGGGGACACGTGACTGGGCTCAGGAAGGAGGGAGCTTGCTGGCAGCAGCTGCGGTCTCAGCAAACTGATCTAATTAACAAGGCAGTGTACTCAAAGGGGAAATGCACATCTCTCTCTCACACCCACACAGTGTGTGTCTCTGTCTCTGTCTGTGATGCCCTCTCCCCTCCCTCCATTCCTGCTGCCTTGTAGAGTGTGAGCGTTAACCCTTGAGGGCTCAGCCAATTGCTAGTTCATCATTTAGCAGTAAGGCATTCCCTGGGAAATATCCCACCCGCTGACTCCTCCACCTCAACCAAGCTTCACAATCATCATCGCTGTGTACCAGTATTAAATTGTTTGTTTAAAACCTATACTGTGTGTGTGTGTGTGTGTGTGTGTGTATATATATATATACACACGTAGACTATATATATTATAGTCTTTTGTCTGGTGAAAAAAAATTCCCTGGAACCTAACCCCCTCATTTAAATTAATTCTTATGGGGAAATTGGATTCGCTTAACATCATTTTGCTTAAAGTCGCATTTTTCAGGAACATAACTACAATGTTAAGTGAGGAGTTACTGTAGTCACATATATAGTCTGTTGATTTCTCTCTATTGACTTCTCATGCATGTGATGTTTTTCTTTTTTCAAAACAGGAAAATGACTATCTCCAGGAATGTCTCGAAGCACTCCAGCAAGACTTTGTCATTTTTAACAGAGAGAAGTGAGTGAGGGGGTATGTTTTCATAAGGAAAAGGGGCTTCTTTTTACTTAGCAGAACTGGGATTCACAAAAACAGATTGTTGGGAGCCATAAATATGAGAATCAAAGCAATGGCCCAGTTCTGCATTACTGACTTCAATGGAGCAGACCCAGGCCCTATTTTTTTTAAAGCTCATCTAAAATATGGAACTGAAAAACAACTCCAAAAGCCTTAATGATTATTAAACTCTGTAGTTAAATCAAATATGCTATAGAATCATGTGGATTTTAAAATACTTATGATTTTGAGTCTTGAGTACACCCATAATACCCACCCATCCACTGTATTTTTGACGATATGGCAAATGAAAGAAATATGGTAAAATGTCCTCCATGCACCACAATGGGTGAATAAAAGCACTGCAATCAAAATATCTGCTTTCCTCTGTTGCTTGAAGATATTCATGACATTTTTGCTATTAAATTAAAACAATATGATAGGAGGCAATTCCTCCCAAGCTAGGAAATAAATAAGGAAACCGCCTCTAAACAAACCATGCTCCTTAGTAAGCACAGTAGGTTACTAGTTATCCTTTACAGCATGTACAGCACTGAGTAAGCCATTGGGTTTAAAATATAAAAATACACCTGCAGCTGTTTGAGTTCTGGTACCTTGTAGTCAAAAAGACTTTAAAACACAGGGGCTTATACAAAAATTTATGAAAACGTTAGGATATGGGTTAGGTGGATCTCAAATATGGAAGAAACACTCAGGAGTTTGTTTCATATATTACATTTGTTCATGCATTTGTTTCATGTATTACAATTGATACTTAGCGCATAAAAAGAGAGAATTCACTGCAATGGCTAAGTCATTGGTTGTCAAACTTTTCCAAAACTGGGATTTCCCTCCCATTTAGGAAGAATCTATCCTGGGCCCCTTTATCTTTCCGAGAACTACAAGGTGGTTGTGACCCCCTGATGCCTGACTGTGACCCCTAAGTTAGTACATGTGGATGGTAGGGGCACCTTAGGACTCATTTTCCATTTCAGTTTTTTCAGTCATAGTTTCTACAAAATTTTAAGTGTAGAGAAAGCATGTAACATGCTACTTATATGTTCTGCACAGGTTGAAGAGGAGTCAAGATCAAATGAATGAATCTATTTCTCCTCCTGAAACTACAGATGAAGCCGAGACAGAAGCCGAATCTGAGAATTCCAATTTAAATATGTGTAGCTCCGTATGTTCTTCTACAGGCAGCAGCTAGGACTACAGTTTCAAGGCAAGGGGCCAAAAGCCTACATGCCTCTTGAATAAATCATTCTCAGGTTGCACTGATGAATATATACTGTACACTGCGTACTATAATTGAAAAAAAAGTCACAACATCAATATTGTAAAACTGTAGCAGAGGTAGATAGTTCTTAAAGAACTGAATTCATGGATTTAAATGATGGCCAGTTCTGAACACTGGATTACCTACTATGAGGAAAAATACTTGCTATGCAACACCTTGGAGAAAATAGTTCAGTTTCTTTCTTTGCTCTTTTTTAATGGCAGATTGCTGACTCAGGCACATGTGAACATGGTAAGTGAACAGGTCAGATCCTTACATATGAGCAAGGAGCACGCAGCACAAGTGCGTGTTTGGGAAAGATTGAGAAGATGATGTAAAGCTCACCTTTGCACTCCGGAGAACTAAGATTGCTGTTTGCAGGATTGGCCCCTTGTGTAAATTAGAGAAGCCCTCAGGCTGCTCTAATTAATGACAGGTGCTAACAGCCTCAAGGGACTAAATAGCTGAGGAGCATGCAGTTTGAGAGCACTTCAGCCACACCCTCTTTCTTCTGGCTGCACACTACATGTAGGACCCTCTCTGTCAACTCAATGCAACTGGATGCTTCTCCTTGCACTGGGTCAATCCCTGAGGGGCTGGATATACTGGCTTTACAAAGAGAATCTGTTAGTGGAGTGGCACAAAGTGGTTGCACTGCACCCAAGGATCTGGTTTAATTTATTTAATCTCCTTGTATGGCTATACTTAGCTGCAAGGAGCTGTGCAAATTACAAGCAAATGAATCAGAAATTATTCTATTTTTTCAACTCATTTAATTAATAGGACAAGTTCTATTGGATTTTGGTTTTACTGGAAACGTACACTGTGGGTAGCCATAAAATGCTGCTCAATAAGAGAAGAAAGGTGGTGTCAGTTTTACCCTTCTGTTACTTTATTCTAAGTGTAAAATAAAGTACTGTACATAATCTACTGGTATCTGTCTTAACTTTTCATTAGGACAGGAGATCTCTTGACTTTGCTCCAGCTGTGGATATTGCCTAATTGTTTCAGAAGCCTTTTCTATGTTAGGCTTAGTGGCTTATTCTACTGTATAGTGGCTTTAAGTTACTATTACTGAAATCAAGCCATCAGTTCTACTACACCATTCAATTATTGTGCAGTGCATATATCTCATTATAATTACATCCACACAAAAACTATCAAAATCTGTTTGTTACCAGACCTTAAGAAATTTGCCGTGTTTGCATCCTTACTGTATGTTCCTGAAGCATAATGGATAGAGAATGTTTTTAACAAATGCAAACTCTTTCGAGGCAATTTCTGCTGTGTTGATATATAGTTTTCAGTGTCCATGAATGAAACAAAAGGAATAACCAGTGTAAAACAATTTTATATGTAAAACAAGACATGCTTACCTCTCCACAGTTTTATGTGGAAACTATTAAGTGGTGAAAATTGTGCAGAACCAAATTTTCATAAAAAATATTCAAGTGTGCAGGCACAACTTGTGGGGGTGGGGGAAAAAGACGCCAAAGCTTTTATACCAGTTGCACAGTTATTTTTAGGACACTGCTAGGTAAATGGTATGTCCTGTTAGTAATTAAACTGTAGAAGACCATGGTTCTTGCTAGAGCATGACCATCCACATCTTATCATTCATAGTATAATCAGAGCTGTGTGAGCTTGAATAGGTCCTAACATGGGGAGCCAACTCTTTTCAGAGAATAAATACCATCCAACTATGTTAATGTTCCTAGATATTATTATAAACTATCCCTGCTCTAATGATAGGTTGAAGTAAGGATTAGCTTATTTTAGTAAAACAGATCTAAAATAAATATTCCCCTCCCTTTTCCCCCTTCCTTACCAACTACAGAAGAAAATTTACCTCCTCAGCTCTGAGTCACAAACAAACTTTAAAAGGGGGATTTTTTTTTCCTTTTCCTTCTGCCCTGCAGTAACATTCCAGCTGATTATCAGTTAGCAAAAGAATTCACACAGCCATCCTCCTTTGCTGTTCCCTCCAAAGGCATGTTAAAGCATGTTTGAATAGAATGTATGATCTGGGCCCTATGCTTTGAAAAAGTTCAGTGAACATTTTTCTAGGAACACGTTGCCCCCCTACTCATGCATTTTGTTGTCAGATTCCACCCCCCTCCACTTACATTTTATTTTTGTAAAGGTAATGGAGCTAAAGCCTCACATTTTTGTCTTGATCCAAGACATATCTTGCTTTGCTCTCTCTCTCTCTTCCCCTTTCTGTTGCAGATTCCCAACCAGCCCACTGTCCCACGGCAGGGAAATTACCTTTTTAAAAGAATCAAAATTAATAATAAGTGCCAGAGGCACCTTCCAAAATAACAGCTATTTACTCTCATTCCCCACTCCAATGGCCATATCAGAGCACTCAATATTTGCATCAGGAATTGTCTCTTTCTTGTGTTTGATAGAAAAAAAGCTCTGAGATAAGTAGGTGCAAACATACCTCAACTTGCCAAGCTTCAAATATGGGTTGCAGTGTGTGGCACAGATGCAAAGTGAAGGGAACAACAAATTATTAATGCAGGAAACTTAAATGTTGTGAGCCTCAGTCTGTCGGTATAAATGGCTCTGTCATGTCAGTTTCATTATTCTTTATTTCTCATGTAAATAATTTTCACCAATAAAATGATGGCACACCAAAATTGTGAGGAACGTAGGTAGCAATGGGAATGAAATGAGCAACGTTTGGCAGGAGTGGATGCACTCCTAACAAGTTAATGTCAGAAACTCCCTCAGTTTAAAGGGGCTCTCTGCAGCTCCATTAAAATATACTGTATAGCAAAAGCAATAGAACCCATTCACTGCTGTATTTAGCACATGGTGTAAGTGGTTTCTGGAATGAACAGTGTATAGGAATGAACTGACTTTTTCAGTTCAGGCTTTGTTTATTGCTCATTACTTCCACTTTTTGTCACTTATCTTTTCCATATAAACCAAGCAGAAATGTCTTCAGTAGTACCAAGCACTAAACAGCAACGCTTCAATGAGGACACTGCTTCTAGGTCATTAGGGGCCAAAGTCTGGTCGCCCAGAAGGCACTGTTGAAGTGCAACATATTGTTTCCTAAGGAAACAAGATCTGGAAAATGCTTGTGCACACACTATTTCTGCCTCGCTTAAATGCATTTCTAAATCTTGATCTCCGAGAAGCAAATAACATGACAAAGAGAGACTTTTAGAATTATTGTCCCATGTATTTGAATCACCCTGAGTACAATATAATTTTAGTACTCATTTTCTATCTTATATAATGCATGCAAATGTACCTCTCTAATACCCATCTGGGAAATAGTTTTACTGATGTCTATTTACACATATTCCCTAGAGAAGAGATTACATGCATATAGTAACTGTAAAAAGAAGACAAATTGTGAGACATGGATACATATTTGCTTTATTGTTTTAAACCAAAAAGTGAGGTGTAATATGATGGGCCAAATTCATCCCTGGTATAACTCCGCTGAATGTTTTATAGCATTTATGTTTGTATGTTCTCAACATAAAATGTATATTTTGCTTTAGAAAAAATTATGTGAAAGGATTCTGGACTATGCACTCCAGCATATTTTACCAGTTCTCCTTCTCTTTGCTGTCTATGGGGTATGTGTTGTTTGGGGTGTGGTAGAATCTATAATGATGATATTGTGATAATTTTAATGCTGGTTCTTTACTTGACTGGGTGGCATTGTCCTGATTTCTATGTTCCTTTTAGGAGTCTTTGATTAAAACTGTATAATCTTTTGGACAAATTGGGCCTGATCCAATGCTCTTTAAAGTCCATGGTCATCCTCTTACTGACTTCAGCAGACATTTGATTGGGCCATTTTTGTCTATTTCAAATAATGCTCTGTGTAAAACTTCATTTGATATGTATAAAACTTTTGAGGGCAATAGGATTTTTTTCTTCGTTCACCTATTTCATCAATACCATGTACACAGACACACACAATTAGACCGCTTTAGAAATCAAGAGTTTAATGCATAGTCTTTCTGCAATACAGTAAATTAATGTATTTTCTAGTCTGTACTTATGTCCCTTATTTATGACTAAGGCCCTCGGTGAGCAGGACTAAGTGAGGTAAGATCACAAAGTCCCTAGCTTTCTAGTTCTTCTACCCTTGCAGCCAAGAATATTAAACAAACATTTACCTTGAGTGCCAAGGTCATCAACACTAATCCTTGACTGAGGAAAGGAATCATTCTTTTCTGATGTTGCTTATATTATTTATATTCACAGCTAAACAAATCCATTTTCTAATATAATTCAAATAGTGCTTTTCACATTCCATAGGGCTTGCCCTAGGTAAAGATTTTAGGGCATTTAAACAATTCTAAAAGGTTAGTAGAAGCAATTCTTCGATCCTCTGGAGTTCTGGAAAATGGAGATCACATGTTTTACTCTGGCTTTTATGTTTACATTCCAGGCCCTTTAGTGTAAGGTATTTAAGAACACTTGTGACTGTGTAGTGTTGTGGCCCAATTCCAATTTCTTACACCCCTCAAAAACACAGTGGGAATTTTGGGAGTACATAATGGCATGATGGGCAGTAGGTGACGAGTAAATCCTACTGCCAGAAATGCTCTTGACAGTAGTTGCATGGGAACTTTATTTTAAATAAAATATGAATCATGTGGCACTTATGTGTGACTGTACCAGTGGCAAAAATGAGACTAAAGATGTGCATTGCTCATTGCATTGTATGTAATGAATGACATTAAATTATTGTAGGGCTCTATTTTATTTATGAACGGGCTGGTTTGAATTTTTGGTTTGAATCTCTCTGCACCATTTATCTTTTTACTGTATCTCTGATTTTAGCGCCTGATGCTGCACTTGGTACAGAAGCAAAACTATCGGTGTAATTCATGGAATACAGCTATCATTTGCAATTATTTCCACAGCTGATCACTAACACTGGTTGCCATCTCTAGCTCTCCTACCAGAATCACAATACTAAATTGAATCTGCATAAGCTATTCAAATACTCTGTATTAATCATTCTTCATGATGCATCTATAAAATCTTTGTTGTTTTCCTCAACCCATTGTACTATCCATATGCCATTTGTAATAGTATTATCATCAATTCATTGCTGTAAATAAGTAATGTCCTCTTTTCTCAGTTTGTTGCACTGGAAATTTCTGAAAATATTTTAAAAACCTTCCAATGAACTCCAGCTGACTTTCCTGGGAATTTTGCATGACAAAGGCATGCAGGAATTGTCCCTTAAGGGTTAATTTTTTTTTTTTGGCCAACTATTGGTCTATTCCTTGCCCAAAAAAGTAAAAGTAATAATAACTATTTTTATAAAACAGTAGAAATGTCTAAAACAGCATAAACTTGACTTAGAACAGCGCTGAAATACTGATGCCTTGCAGGCTCCTTTTTTTTTTTTTTAGTTATTTCAGTGCAAATCACATATGTAAGTATAGCTTTGTATTTTATGATAATACAATTCTGTAATTTTTATTGCATGAAAATAACACCATATTATACAAGAACATTTAAGTTATGGCAATATATTTGTGGTTTTGCAGATACTGCAGAGAAGCCATTGCATTTGTGGAGTAATAAATGTGTATTTTTAAGATATCTGGACATTTGCAATCATTTCTAGGTTTATTGTTAAATAGAAATAAATTAAGTACTGTAAGGAGGGCATGTAGTGGTCACATTCCTTATTTACATATTCACAGGCTAGATATTTTTACAGTTCGGTATAACAGCCAAAACATATAACAAATCTATTTTATATCTGCCATTATGGTCATGGGTATTCTAAAGACATGCTCA